TTTTTTTTTAAAAAAAAAAAAAAAAAAAAAAAAAAAAAAAAAAAAAAAAAAAAAAGAGACACATAAGGAGCAGCAAGGAGACAAAAAGAAGGAGACAATCAATACATAAAGGGGACAATTAACAGGAAAAAGGAGACAGAACAACGCATAACAATAACTCGATGCAGCAGCAGCAGCAACAGCAGCAACAGCAGCAGCAGATTGTGGGGCATGCATGCATGCATGCATGCATGCATATCCAATCCGTTACATATCTGCTGCTGCAGCAGCACTGCAACAACAACAACAACAGCTGCAGCAGCATCAACGCAGCAGCAGCAGCACTACCGCCAGCACAACAACAACAGCAGCAGCACCACTATCAGCAGCAGCAGCAGCAACAGCAGCAGCAACAGCAGGACATACAATTGAATGGAGGAGGAGGTACTTCAGGTTTGCCTAGATGCAGAGGGGGAGGAGACGATCCCGGTGCCATGGGATCGAAGGCGGGGGAGTCGAGATCGTCACTCTCATCTGCCCATCTATTACGACGAGGGCAACTGTCTCCTTCTCCTGCTGCTGCTGCTGCTGCTCCTGCTGCTGCTGCTGCTGCTGCTGCTGTTGATGGTTCTGCTGCTGCTGCTGTGTCTGTTGCTGCTGATGATGATGATGGTGGTGGGGGTGGGGGGGGTGCAGCTGCTGATGATCCATCGGAGGAGCCACCTGCTGCTGCTGGTGCTGCTGCTGCTGCATCAGTAGCAGCAGGAGAAGGTGATGGTGCTGCAGTTGCTGCTGCTGGTTCTGCTGCTGCTGCTGCAGTAGATGGAGACAGCCTCGAGCTCTCCTCGGATACGTCTCCTGTACTGGACACGGGATCGACTCGATCCCGATCCCCATCTCCCCCTGCTGCAGCAGGGCAGCAGCTAGAGGTCATTGTGTGTGGGGACCTCCTGCTGCTCTCCATGCTGCTGCTGCTGCTGCTGCTGCAGCTGCTGCTGCTGCTGCTGCTGCTGCTCGCGGTTATGCTGTTGTGCTGCACTGTATGGATGTACACTCCGTTGGAGGTTATAAGAGAACAACAGCAACCAAAGGAGTCGCGAAGGACGGATAAGGGCCCCCCTCTTTGCTGCTGCTGCTGCTGCTGCTGCTTCTGCTGCTGCTGCTGCAGCGGGAGGCCCCGCGGATTCTAATGGGCCTGAGGGGCCCCCAAGGAGCGACGGAGGAAAGAGACAAGTTTAGTCCTTTTGTTGTTATCTCCTGTTGTATTTAAGGACGGAGCAGCAAGGAAGAAAGAGCAGAAGATCGGGTGGTGCTGCTGCTGCTGCTGCTACGGCTGCTGCTGCTGCTGCAGCAGCTACTGTTGCTGCTGCTGCTGTTACAGGAAGAGGCGGATCCCCAAAAGAGGTTACGAAGGGGGCCCCCTTTATAACAACTCTTCCTTATGTTAACAACACCACGGGGGCCCCCAAAGGGTACCGGGCTACACAGAGGCAGCAGCAGCAAGCACAGGAGGGCCTCTCTGTTGCGCTTGCTGCAGCAGCAGCAGCAGCAGCACAGCAGCAGCAGCAGCAGCAGCAGCAGAGTTCACCTACTGCAGCAAGAAAGAGACAGACACACGTATATGAATAAAAGTAAGGGTCCTTATGTTTAATATAATATGCACATCGATGTATACAAGGAGCTGCTGCTGCTGCCTTAGCAAGCCGCAACAGCAGCAGCAGCTGCTGCTGCTGCTGTGGCTGCTGCTGCTGCTGCTGCTGCAGCACTGATGGATACTACGACTACATACTACTACCTCTTACCCCGCTGCCGCTGCTGCTGCTGCTGCTGCTCTCTCCTTCTTCTTTTCCTCCTTTTTTTCTCTATTTATTTTTATTAATTCTTATTAATTAATTTAATTCCCTTTTTATTTATTAATAAGGTATTTAACCGAACTTCTCCCGTGCTGCTGTTGCTGCTGTTGCTGCTGTTGCTGCTGTTGCTGCTGTTGCTGCTGCTGCTGCTGCTGCTGCTGTGTAACTGCTGCTGCTGCTGCTGCTGCTTAAACTGGCTAGTGTGTGCATAGAGACATAATCCTAAAGGTATTAATTAATATTATTATTAATTAATTATTTTTTCCCCTCTTTTTTCTTTTTCTTTATTAATAAATAAATAAATATATAATTAATACCCCCACATCTTTTTTTTTTTTATTCCTTGCGGGGTGTACAGGGAGGTAGTAACACCCTTCTTCTTATTTATGTCTCTTTTATTCTTTTTTATTAATTAATTAATTAATTTATTTATTTATTTATTATTTATTAAGAGGATCTCCTCCATATTTGCTGATTAACTGCGCATGCATGCATATATAGCGACACACATACCTCCCTTCCCTAGCTTAGTCTTATTAAGAGAGGCAGCAACAGCAGCAACAGCAGCAACAGCACTTGCTGCAGCAGCAGCAACACAAGCAGAGGTGGCTTGCTGCTCTTCTTGCACGCATGCATGCATGCATTCATGCAGAGTCGGTGTATGCATGCATGCATGTGTGCATGCACGCATGCATACAACGTCGATACAGAGACACAAATAAATATTCACCAGGTGTCTAGGCAGCTACTTGCTGCAGCAAGAAAAAGAGAGGGCTATTAGTTGTATTATCTCTTGCATGCATGCATGCATGCATGTATTTTATCGAGTATAATTATGCAGGTTGCTTATGCATGCCTCTGCATGCATGCATGCATGCACGCATGCATGTATAGAGGGTCGATTGTGCTGCATAGTTTATTAGAGGACGTCCCTGCTGCTGCTGCTGCTGCTGCTGCTGCTGGCAGGATAAAATGAGACACAAGAGGAGGCAGGTAATTGTTAATAAGGAGACACTCTTATAATAGTAAATAAGTGTCTAATAATAGCATAATTATATTTATTTATTTATTTATTTATTTATTATTAATAATAAATAATAATAAATAATAATAAAATAATTTATTATTAAGTATTATTATACAGCTAGCGCTGTCTTAATAGTCCTAGTATAAACGGATAAATGACGCATTATGCGTTGCTGCTTCTGCTGCAGCAGCAGCAGCAGCAGCGGCGGCAGCAGCAGCTGCAGCAGCAGCCTCTGCACAAGAATGTCTTCCTCTAAGGAGACATTATTTTTATTCATATAGACGGAAAGAAAGAAGAGGCAACTATTTATTTACTATATAATAATACTTTGGGGCTTGCAATATCGCATGCATGCATGCATGCACGCATGCGCCTCCATCATGCATACATGCATGCATGCGTGCATGCATGCACGCATGCGCCTCCATCATTACATGCGCCTCTATACATGCATGCATGGGCCTCTATACATGCATGCATGCGTTTCCCTTCATGCATGCCTGCATGCATTCTCTGCATGCACGCAAATGCACGAACCTTCCGGCAAGCAAGTGTATGCACCTCCCTCCGTGCATGCATCTGCATGCACCTCCCTTCCTGCATGCATGCATTTGCATTCACCTTCCTCCCTCCCAGCATGCCTGCATGCATGCACCTCCCTGCATGCACGCACCTCCCTGCATGCATGCATTTGCATTCACCTTCCTCCCTCCCTGCATGCATGCATGCAGGGAGGGAGGTGCATACACAGATACATGCATGCATCTGCATGTGCATGTATCTGCATGCATATATCTGCATGCATTTATCTGCATGCATGCATTTATCTGCATGCATGCATGCATGCATGCATGCATGCATGCACTTATTCATCACCACAAAGTGTTTTCCTTTTTCTGTATCTTTTGTTGGCTTTAGTGCCAAGATATTGCGGCAATAAAGTTGAGCAAAGATCATATCTTAGTAAATTTATTTCTCTTTTATATAATAATTCTTCGTCGTCATGAATAGATCCAATTAAGGTACTATCTCCTCCTTCTCCTCCTCCTGCTGCACCTGCTGCACCTGCTGCACCTGCTGCACCTGCTCCTGCTGCTCCTGATCCAGCAGCAGCAAACGCAGAACGACCAGCCTTAGGGATACCCATAAAGGGACGAGCTTGTTGCTCTTCTGCCTTCTCTACTATGTCAGATATTATCTGCAGCAACATAAAGGAGACAGTTTATTTATTATCTAGATAAAGGAGACACGGAGAGGGAGAGAGAGAGAGAGAGACACACATACTGCAGCAGCAGCAGCAGCAGCAATAGCAGCACCAATAGCAGCATCAGTAACAGCAAGAGCAGCACCAAGAGCATCGTCATCAATAACATCAAAGGCAGCATCATCATTCACAGCAGCAGCAGCAGCAGCAGCAGCACGAACAGCAGCAGCAGCAGCAGCAGCAGCAGCAGCATGTCTTACGGTAAAATCTAATCCTGTAGCGAATTCAACAAGCGCAAGAGGTACACGAAAGGCATTTGCCCCCCAATTATGTTGCATTGCCTTATTAGGCACCAAGAAGGCCCCTACTGCAGCAGGAGGAGACACAAGAGTAGGGTAATACTCTTCTTGCTTATCTCCTGCTGCTGCTGCTGCTGCTGCTCCTTCTCCTGCTGTAGGAGGGGAACTAGCAAAACGAGCAGCAGAACCCGTAGCACCATCACCATCACTATATGCTGCTGCTGCACCACCACCACCAGCAGCTGCAGCAGCAGCAGCAGCAGGAGCAGCAGCAGGAGGTGGAGAAGGAGGTCTCCTTATTGTTGGTCCCCTCCTAGGATTAACACCAAGAATAATTTTAAAGAAATGCGTAGGCACGGGCAATAATTTTAGACCAAAGACAGTATAATCTAGATGGAGAAAAGGAGGTGTCTCCTTATTAAGTGTCTCCTTATTATGTGTCTCCTTTTGTGTCTCCTTTTCTGTCTCCTTTTGTGTCTCCTTACTAAGTGTCTCCTTACTAAGTGTCTCCTTTTGTGTCTCCTTTTGGAGACGCCAACGACAACGAACAAATGCCTCGTATAAAGGAGACGTCCTACCTAACCATAAATCTGTAAATATTTGACGCTGCTGCTGCTCCTGCTCCTGTTGATACCGCTGCTGCTGCTGCTGCTGCTGCTGCTGCTGCTGCTGCTGTTGTGATTTATCCTCCACCATGTCCTGCAACAAATGGAAACCTATAGGGGGAGGAGACGGCTCCCCATCAAGGGCCTCCATACTAATAGGTATACCCATACTAGATTTGTACCAAGGCCTACAACATATGTATACGTATATATATGTATATGTATATGTATACGTGTACGTGTACGTGTACGTATACGTATATGTATATGCATGCATATATATATATATATATA